TCTCAGTGGTGTGGCAGTTGTGGAATGACGGAGTCCTTCTCGATCTAGTTTGTAATCTGATGAGGTCATCCTCTATTTGCCTTTAGTGTCAATTTTCTGATAACAACTGTCTTTGGAAGTTAACCATGTCAATAAGTAAGAAATGGTTGTATTTTGGAATTACGATAATGGTAATAATGACAAAACTTTTGTGAATATACTAAAAATCCATGAACTATACAGTTAGACAAGGTGAATTTTATGGTAGGTGGATGATATCTCAATAAAGCTGTTACTTAAAAAAGTTATTATTAATAAGAATTTAAAGATAATAAAGTGATAGTACATATATTGAGTGGCTAACATTAAAAAAATTAGTTAAAAATTAAGATGGCATTAATTAATCTAAATGATATATAACATTAACACTCATCTTATTTATTCTCTTCAATTTTAAAAACCGTCCTAAATAAATATTCATTATTACACAGTTTATCACATACTTGATTGTTAAGTCTCAGTGTTAAAGTAGACTTAAGCAAAACAAGTTACTACTTTCAAGTACATTTGTGGAAAATTCTCATTCATACAGCAATAGCACCATGTGGTGTGAATGAATCACCGGATTAAAAATGCTACAAGGCTAATAAATAAATATACCTGTGGGTTTATGTTTGTCATTTCATATTTTTTAAATTAACAAATTCTTGGCGTGTTGAGTTTTTGTGGGACAAGTAATTCAGTATGGATAAAACCAGAGAGAGCTGTGAATTAAGATGACCTATTATAGGCTTCCAAAGGAGCTCTGGTAGAGTAGTGGTTACGAGTCGGGCTGCCATCCTCAAGGTCAGCCGTTCGAAACTACCAGCAGTTCCACAGGAGAAAGATGAGGCATTCTGCTCCTGTAAAGATTTACACCCTCGGAAACCCTGTGTAGGGTCACTATGAGTCAGAACCGACGCCATGGTACTTACCAACAAAAACAATATAGGCTTCCAAGGTTTCAAAGTCACCAGCCACACCTCGGAAACCTTGTACCGGTTTGCTATGAGTCAGAATCAACTTGATGGCAGTTAACAACAGTAATACAGGCTTCCAAGGTCTCAATTAACAATTTTTTATTCTTTAGTTATCCCAGGTATGTTGAATATTAGAAATTGAGTGCTAATTCTCAATTTAACAAACAAAATAATTCTCACTAATAAATATATTTCCATTCTTAAGAGTACGAAATAAAAATAAACTTTAACAGTAAATAATTCAACATATGGCAAAGGTTCAAAAGTATTAACTTGTAAAAAGGTGCTATAAATAATGAGTACAACAAACAAAATGAGCAAAGGCTAGGAATAAGCAATTTACCCAAGAATAAACAAATGAAAACATGTTAAACCTTGCTGTAGTACTGGTAGGGCACTGGACTGTTAACTGCAAAGTCAGCGGTTCAAACCACCCAGTTATTGCTCCTTAGAAACCCTATAAAAAGGTCCTGGTGTGGCACTGCTGGACTGCAAGGTCAGTTTGAACCACAAAATCAGTGGTTCAAACCTAGCAGCCTATCCTCGAAAATCCTACACTGGGTCACTATAGGATGAAAACAACTCGACAGCACTTAACAGCAACTACAAATTAACAAAGATTTGAAATATAGTGTTAGTGGTTAATAAAGTTTGGGGAAACAGACAAGCACAAAGACTAGGATGAGTGGTACGTATTAGAGCAATTTCATGGAAAGATATTTGGAACTATGCATTAAAATTTTAAAGAAGTACATATTGTTTCAATTAGTAATTTTTGGGAGGAATTTGCATTAAATATGATAGATATGTACAGATTTCTCATAAGCACAATTAAGTGTCCTGGAATACTCATACTTTACAATGTTGTTCATAGCCTGTCATGATCCACACAATCGAAGGCCTTTGCGTAGTCAATAAAGCACTGGTAAACATCTTTTTGAGAGTCTCTGCTTTCAGCCAAGATCCATCGGACATCAACAATGACATCCCTCGTTCCATAGCCTCTTCTGAATCCAGCTTGTACCTCTGGGAGTTCTCT